TGTTTGGCTTTGTGCACTTGTTCTAAGGCTCCTGTTTCTCAGGCTCACGCAGTCAGGGCCCCGGAGCTGGCTAGGCTGCAGCCATCTTGCCCAGGAAAAGCAAACCAGAGATCAAGACACCAAAAGAAGTAAGGCCAAAGCACAGACCTAAAACCTCCTGGATCCCTGTGGGCTCAGGGCCACGCACAACAGGCGGTGGTCAGTTTCTTACGTGCTTTTCTTACACACTCACAAGCTGCAGGGTACTTTGATATTGGTCCTACGCATTTAAGGGAATTCCTTTCCTTTGCTATAAGGCCACCTGCCTCTCGAAGAAACCCCAGGCTCCCAGAGGGTTGTCTCCTCAGATGTCTTCTGTGGGCCAAGGCAGAGGGAACCGGTGGGCCTCTGCCCTGGGCCTCAGCAGTGGACATTTTCGTCGCAGTCCACGCCACATGGGGCGCCTCCCCAACACCGGACCTCTGGAAGGCAAGGAACCAAGGACACTACCTTGTACCTGCCGCCTCTCACAGAGCTGGGTCTGCTGAACCCAAACAATCCAACCACGGCCAATAAACTACAAAACCCAGTACTTGCCTAGGATACGTTGCTTTCCAGTCAGGTATCCATGGCTTAAATGTATGACAAGTGTGGTTTGAGGAGAGGGAACACAAAATGTTAGCTTAGCATTTCTGTCACCCCCAGACCTGGTAATATCTCCTCCGGGCTTCAAGGTTTTATATTAAAGTGAAAAGGTTGAACAAATTGATTCCTGTGGCAGAGCACAGAGAGGAGACCCCGCTTGGTCACCCTGATTCCTGTTTGCAGTACTGGGCGCTCCCACAGGCTTCTTTCCATGATGATGTCTAAAATTTCTGAGACGCTCTGCGAAACCTAACATCAAGAACTGCTAGCAAATGACTTCTCCAACTGAGTATGGTGCCTGAAAGGCCCGGAGACACCCAGCAAGTAAAGGGGGGGTCCCCTCTGGCAGGGGTGGTGGATGGTCCAGGAGAGGAGGAGGGCCTGTCTGCACAAACACAACCTTCAGTGGGCCGCAGGTGCCCATCAGGACTTACACAGCCTCCTGGATTGCAGAGCGACACTGAGCCCCAGAGCCCGAAACAGTGATGGGCGCCAGCCCGCGAAGCACTTGAGCACTGGCCCCGAGACTCAAATGCAGGCTTTCGGGAGGGCCACATTGGAGGTCCTCTGGCCAATTAGAGAAGGCAAGGGCTCTCCGAGTCTCATGCAGTGACAGCTGACTGAAGCCGCCCATGAGCCTCCCTCTAGAATCTACCAGAGTGGCCTGCATGGTGCACACATATGTACATACAGGCCTCACTGGAAAGTGTGACAGCATGACCCCTTATCTGTCCCCAGGCTCTTCCCACCGTTACTTGTCAGCCGACCACTGTCCAAAGATTTTACACAGAAAATTTCAGAAATAAACAACTCACAAGTTTTAGATAACTTTCATTACAGTTGTTGCTATCATTGTTCTATTTTATTATTATTTATTGTGAATCTTTTTCTGTGTCTAATTCATAAATCAAACTTTCTCATAGCTACATATAAGCAGGAAAAAACACAGTGCCTTTGGATATAGGGCTGGTAGGATCCAAGGTCTCAGACATCCACTGGCAGTCCTGGGCCTATTCGAACACAAGAGACTACTGTGTGAGGACAGTGTGACTGGTGGGTTGGGTTTTTCCTTCTTGGAGGTTTTCTGGGAGGTGGGAGGGGTGTAGGTTGAGAGTTAAGGTTTCATAGAGTAAAGCCCTGTCTTGGTATAAATCCATTGAGTTGACAACCTACTGAAAAATTACGTCCAGCGAGGTAAACTAAGGGCCTTGTAGGCTCACTCCCTGAGGCTGCTTGCTGGGGCCCTGACAGTCACCTGCTGCAGGGGTGTGGTGGAGCACTGGCATCCAGACTCTGAAGCACCCGCACCAGGATCCACTCTCCCATACACACACCGAGGCTCCTGATACGGGTGGCTGGCAACTGTGTGGTGGTCCTAGGACTTCAGGGGTGCTGGCGAAGGCAGCTGGGTGTGGGAATACTGTCATCCTTTAACCAACATGACAACTGTTCAGCCAGGGCTACAATCCTAAGAAAGGAAGGACAGAAGAGAGAGAGAGATGCAAGGAGAGAGAGGGGGGAGGGAGAGGAAGAAGAAAGAAGAAGAGGAAGAGGAGGAGGAGAAAGAAGAAGAAAGGAGGAAAGGAAGGAAAATAAAACAGCATTACAGCCTTCGGCTTTAGTTTTAATGACAACATAAGGTGACCCCTCTGCATTCTGCCTCGTACTGTGGGAGGCTGAGTGAGGCAAGAGGATCACAAGTTCAAGTCCAGGCTGGGCAACTTAGCAAGATTCTGTCTCAAAAGAAAAACAAGTAACAACATGGGGGATGTGCTTCAGAGCCAAGTCCCAATGCCTGGTGCCACCAAAAGTCAAAACCAAAAACAAAACAAAACAAAAAGCTGCGGAGAGAACAGTGCAGGTCCACACCCTCAGGAGATCTTCTGTGGCCACTTCCCGCAGCAGGCTCTGTGTCCCCAGCTCTGGGGCATGCTGTGGCCTCCCGCCAAAGGGGCCCCTGCTCAGCTCAGGTCTGCCTTTGCCTGGACAGCACCTCCCGCAGCAAACAGAGGAGAGCACACCTCCCAGGCGGCAGGACAACTGACAGCCGGGACCTGCGGCCCTGGAGGCATTCTTCCATTCCTTTACCCAGCAGGCACCTTTCCAAAGAGCTGCCTCCTAGACCCGTCACACACACACATGGAGTGTGAACACATGAGCGCACAGCACACATCTGCACGCACACTCACACACGTCTTTGTAATCTCTGTCCTACAGGGCAGCCTGCAGAGATAGTAACAATGACCTTACTTTACAGATAGGAAACATGAGGCTGGAGGCTGTCTCTTGCTCAAAGTCAGAGACAGGAAGAGCCCTGGAGGCTAGCTGAACCCCTCCGCACTCAGCACTCGGATCTGGGCAGAGGCAGGGGCACGGGTGGTCTCCACTCCCTCATGGCAATCAGGAGATCTGAGACAACGGCCGGATGTCAGAGCCTGGGCAGGAAGGGCGGCCCTACCCTGGGACTTCAGGCTAGAGCCCTCTGTCCTCCTGTCCCACCACCGAGTCAAGCGCCGGTTCCCATAGCGACCAGCAGAGGGCAGTACACCTCGTCTTTTCGAGCTTCAAGGCCTTGCTTCTCCAGCACTGGGTAAAGAAAACCATGGGAGAAACCGGCAGCTTCTGGGAACAGGTCCCGAGCAGAGCACGCACATAGTAGGTGCTCAAAGCACAGCTGGAAGCCGCCAGGGCTGGCCGGGGTATACGAATTTTACTCAGCATCGTAATAGGAAAGGGGAACAGAAGCCTCGTGCCCTCTGCCAGCATCCTCCACGCTGTAGGAATTTTCCCCAACCTAGAGTCAGCACCTACTACCTGCCAGGCGCAGGTGACACCGGCACAACCTTGTTCCCTGCCCAGGTCGTGTTCCTTCGGCAGAGCCTCCTTCCGTTCCCCTCCTCTTCCCCGACACAGACAACGCAGAGCGGGGGCGGGTGGTCGCTGTCTCCCGGGGAACCATCAAGGTACAAATTGGCTAGGCTTGGGGACCTGCAAGGGACCTGCGAGGCAGGGACGAAGTCCTCGGTAACACGTGAGAGCCCAGCGAATGCGACACCCGAGCTTGTCCCTGCCTCCAGGGTCACAGCTGTCTCCTGCGGGCTCGCTGTGACTCGCACAGACCCCGTCCACTCGCGCGCTCCCCGGCGCCACCAAGTCCCGCGGGGACAGGCTCTGAGCGGCGCTGACCCTCACGTAGGAGGTAGCAGAAGCTCGGGCCTGCGCCGACCCGGACGCCCTTTCCTGGGGACCGCTCCAATGCCCTCGTGCTTGTTGTGCGCCGACCTGGGCGCAGACCCAATCCCTATCGCAACTTAAGCCGCTCCTGCTCCTGCAAGGTCACGCTCAAACACTCAAGCCTAGAGAAACCCGGAGCAGAAAGTCGCGCCGCCGTCCGGGTTCTGAACAAGCTGGACCGCCCCCAAGTAGCCTCACCCAGAACCACCGTAGGGTGAATGTGCGCTTCCAAGAGGGGCAGACCCTACCCGCGCGGGTCACTTTTCGCTGGAGACGCGCACAAGTTGCTAACTTTTGTCACATTATTTCTTGGCAGCTGCGGCGCCTAACGGGGCTGGGGCGGACCAGGAGTTTCGAGTTGCCACCCCTCCACCCCGCCGCGCTCCCTTCGCCCACCCGGATCCTCCTCTTCCCCTTCTTCCCCCACTCGGCTCGCAGCTGCCGGGTCCCAGGCGCCAACTTCTCGACCCCCTAGGAAGCGGCGCAAGCTGGAGGCGTCCCGGATGCCGAGAGCCAATTCCTGGCTCTGCGCCTGCTCACGGCGGAGCAGGGACTCCATCCAGATAGGATCCAGTGGCCTCTGGTCCGGACCACCGGCAGTTTCCACCTAACCCGAGACCCTGTGTGAACTCCAAAGCGCCTGCGTCTCCCGGATAGCGCCCCACAGCGGCCCCGGCTGGTGAGACCCACCCTGGTCTGGGGCGCAGTGTCACTGGGGTGGCTCCGGGGACCACTGCTCGGAGCGTTGTTAGGTTCTCGGCGACACCTACGGTCAGCACCAAAGACCGCTGAGCCCGAGCCTCCTTGGGGACCTTCGTTTCCCGGAGGCCCCGGAGGTCACTAGGCAAGTAGAGGGGTCTCCCAACGGTTTTACTTCCTCTCGAGGCGGGGGCTTCAGTTCCACCTCTACTGTCACACCCTCCGGGTCTCCTTCCCACTCCCCAGTTCCCGGGTCAGGGAATCACCCCTGCACTCGGGGAGAACACGCGAAACTGTCCGTGCCCCGAGTCGCGCGGACACCGACCCCGCGCACCCCGAGCCGCGACAGGCTCCGAGCGCTCACCGGCTGGAGACACGCTGGAGTTTCCCGGGTTTGGGCAGGGAGGGGGTCTCGGAGGAGTACGGGGGAAGCGGCTACTCACCCGCGCGGCTCTCGTCGCCTCGGGCTCCCCTCTCTCCTTCCTCCTCTCTCGCCTCCCTCTGGGTGAGGGCTCTTTGTCTTTGCAAAGTGTCGAAACTGTCTGGCATAGTGGGGCTCCGCCGGCGGAGGCTAGCGCCGGGGACGCGGGAGGCGGGGTGGGGATGGGAGCGGTCTCGGGAAACCTTCCTCCCGGAGTGGCTGGGCGGGAGGCGGGGCCACCAGGGAGGAGCCGCCTTTGCCCGCCTGCGGGGCACTAGCCGGGCCACCGCCTCCGCGCACGGCCTTCCCCTTCCTCCGCCCCTCCCGCCGGCCTCGGCTCGGCTTTCCCCAGGCTGAGGCTTCCAGCCAGCCGAATATAGCTCCGCGGAGCCACGTGGACCGCAGCGGGTTGGGCTGAGGCCGGGCCGGGGAGACGCTGGAGGCCGCGGTAGCAGCGCGGGGATGGATCACCGGTCGAAGAGGAGCTCTTAGGGGACAGCTCCGCGACTCTCAGCAGCGGGCCCGCGGGCGAGGCTTAGGGAAGAGCTCCGTTGGGTCAGCAAAGGGGAGCAGGCAAGGGGCTGTGCCGGCGCCCAGAGGGGTCGCTCCTCCGGCTGGCGACCGGGTAGGGCCACCGACTTCTTTTAAGGGCATGAGACGCCAGGTGGGATTTAGGGAGTTGCAGAGCGGAGTGCGGCAGGCCCTGGGACTGGTGCGGCCAAGCGTCAGCCCTTCTCTCCCGCCCGCGGCGGAGTTCCCACCTCAACGAAGAGGCTGCAGCGAGACCTAGAGTGTGGCAAGGCTCGGCCGGAGAGCTGGCCGGGGCCGGCGTTACAGCAGCTTGGGCTTTGGTTCCAGGGTCTGGTGATCGGTTTGCTTCCCTGTCTTCTGGGAACGCGAGGGCTGCGCAGACTGGTTTTGCTGTAGGGTAGATGGCTGCCTCACAGCTGTACACAAGGTTTAAGAGGCATTTCTGAGAAGTCTGGGTTTTCCGCTATAATCCTCTCTATGGGACTACCTAGCTCTGACAACTTTTCAGTGGAATGTTAAGCGGAAAAGGGTGCCCAGGGCTTTGTTCATTCTTGCAGCTTTCGCTGCTCCAGTGGGAGAGGGGAGCCTTTTGCAGTGGGGGCGGGCAGCACCGCTAGAGAGCTGCGGTGGGGCAGGAACTCCGCCCAGGAGCGAACTCTGCCACGCTGTCTGCGCGTGGACTCGTGCTGCCTCGGAATCGCTGTGCGTTGCTTTGCTTCTCAGCGCCTGAGAAGAGGTTGTAATAACGAAGGGAATTGGGGCATGCAGAGCACCTCGGACTGGGCTTGCTTCTGCTGCGTGCCAAGTCTGAGTTCTCTGTGGCCTTCTGCAGAGGAGGTCCTTGCCCATTCAGGCAGGTGGCTTGCCCTCGAGGGTCGGGTGGGTGGAGGTGCTAGGAAAGACTTCAGCGAGAGAAGAAAGATTCAGAGGCCAGAAATAGATTTTAGGGGAGCAGGGTTTTAATCACTACGAAATGAAGGAAAAGTAGAGGAGAGAGATTCACAGAAAGTTAGAGAACAAAATAAAAGTCCAGGAATATGCAGGCCTCCCAGCCACACTGAGTCACACTGGTCTGTTTCTTGCTTCCCAAGAGCTTGAGAGACCTGCCCTGGGACCTCTTGTCTGACCAGACCATTTTGGTTTTGATGCTAAAGAGGGGCTGTGCCTTTCCTGAAAAGAGTTTTCACCTTCTGAAACTCCAGTAAGGCTGCTGCACCTGAAGTTCTCCAAAGGCATTGCTGGGGAGAGGGAAGGCAGAGCCTAGGAGCAGCAGCACCTGCCTGCCCTCTTCATCACCTTCCGGCAGCTCTTTGAGCTGGGTCACTGGGATTATTAACACCCAGAGGTGCTGCTCAGACAGCCCCGCGGAACTGAGGTGGCCGCCCTCCTGCCTCACAGGGACCACTGAGGTCCGCAGATTTGCACATCTCCCTAGCTGTGTGGCCAGCTTGCTGATGACGGGAGAGTGCTGCACATTGCTCGCTGCTGCCTGAAGACCTAGGCTGGCTGCATGGTAGATGCTCAGCATGATTCAGATACTGGATGGATTAGCCAAAGCAGCGGTGTTGCTTGCAGGGAGATTGGAAAACTGCGGTGCTAATGTTAGGATTACTGCATCCTAGTTAGTACATTCTATGAAAAGCAGTTCTGGTTGGGGAAATAAGTATCCCCAGCTCATCCAGATGTTCCAGTTTGCACCCAGCTCGATTGCAGCCCTGGGCTCCTGGCAGGTCTGCTGGCTGACTCCACAGCCAGGTGGAAGGGCCCTGTTAAATGACTGCTGTGGAAACGCCTCCTCTATAGGACAGGATGAACCTTAGGTGAATCTAGTCGCAGTCCAGTGAGGTAACCCAGGGAAGGCCTTTGCTCTCTGACCTGTTTACCTTCTGGTAGAACACATTTCTTCCCAGGAAGCAGAGCTTTGTCCCTAGTCCTGTCTTCCTTCTTTTCTGCCTTTCCTTCCTTGCTTCCTTCCTCCTTTCTTCCCTCTTTCCCTTCCTTTTACCTTCCCTCCTGTTGTCTTTTGTTCCTTTTTTTTTTTTTTTTCTTTTAGGTGTGATAGTCCTTGCAAGAAGTCCTTCTGACCCCTGGAGCACTTCCAGGGTAGAGCTGCATGCACAGAGCTGTGAGCCTGCCTTCCTCTCGGTCCTGCGTGTGCCTCTCAGCGCAGCCTGCCAGAGAACAGCTGGTGATAGTCGTTGCCAGAAGTGCCTGCGGAGGGTCCCTGGGGAGCCCTGACACTGATTCAGTGCTCAGCACCACATCCCACGTGTTCAGAGCTGCAGCCCGGCTCCCAGTAATGAGGGTTAAGGAGCTTGATTGCATCCTACCCCTGCCTTGGCAGGGTCCTAGTGGACTCTGATCCCATTCGAGTGATTGCTCAGGGAAGGGTAAGGCTGCCTGTGTGGCTGGGGAAAGGGGGCAGAGGGGCCAGGCTCGCAATGCTGTCCTTAGTTCCAGGGGTTGTGTACAGCTCAAGTTTCCTCAGGAAAAAGAGGCTGAGCTTGGGGTGTGCAAACCGAAGCCATAGCTAGGAAGCTGAAGGACAGACCGCTGTCTCAGTGTATCCGTCTCTTCGTGTTCGTGTGAGGCTCCTGTATGTCTCTGTTCTCTCCTTGGCCACAGGTTTTCTCTGCTTAGACCTGGGGCAACCCCTAAAATTTTCTGCCCGCTTTGTTGCCACAGCCCTCCTCCACTGCGGCAGCTGTTGAAGCAGTCCTCTTAGCTCCACTTCTCCTTGCAGATCCACTCCATATTTCAGGGTTCTGAGGAGAGGAATCTGATCGATGGGCCTCACCCTCAGGACCACAGGTCACCAACCCAACCCGCCTGGATTTCCCAGGCAGCATGTGTCCGCTCTCTGGGTGACCCTGCATGCGGAGAGCTACCCGGGAGATCTTGCAGTGAGACACAGGGCACATTGCCTTCAGAACCCCCGCTGGAGGGTCTTGGCAGGTCCTTGAGTGAGCAGAAATAGTTGGCAGAACTCTCACACAGCATACATTCCTTACATATATGAGACCCAAGTCCACACTGAGCTAGCTCATTAGTCGGAATCACTCATGACCACCCTAATCTCTTTGCCAGAAACTGGCTCGGGAGTGAGATTTAATCCCTATTTGGACAACAAAGATAAGGAGACACATATGCTTGAGCATTCTAGAAAAAAAAAAAGTGTTCTTAAGAATAACCCCCGAGTCAGGCATGGTGGTCCACATCTGTGATTCCAGCGCTTTAGGAAGCTGAGGTGGAAGGATTACAAATTTGAGCCCAGTCCATGCCACATATGAACTTGGCACGACCGCACCTCGGGTTTGCTCCCAAGAGCAACCTTGAGTAGCAGCCCTGTGCAGTTCTCGCCTTTCCATGTGTAAACCTTCTCTTAGGATCTGGTGCTGCTTAGTCCTTGCAGCTGCTTCATGAAGAAGTATCACTCCTCTTTCTTCCATCTAATATATTTGGATAATACCCACTCTGTGCCAGGTTCTGTCCTAAGTGCTGGGGACATGGAGGTGAACATCACATAGTTCCCATCCTCAGAGAGCTCCCAGTTGGTCCCAGGCGACCAGTCATTTCCCCATCTTAGGGTGATGCTATCATATGGCACCTGATATTGTCTCAGGGTCCACTTCCAGGATCAGGTTCCCCCCAGCCTCTCACTGTCAACTAGGTGTGTGTCCTCAAATCCCACAGAACCCATGAAGTCAAAGTCAAGCGTAGGCTTTGTCAGAGAGCAGGTGGGAGCTCTGAAAAGTTTTCGATGGCAGGCAATGGCAGTGGAAAAGCTTTCAGATGATTGAAGTCATCTGTGAGATGCAGGGATCTAGCCAAAAGAACTGATCTAGGAGAAACCTAGGGAGTAGGTGTGCTTCTGACATGATGACGTAGACTGGGCATGGCGCTGAGGAGGGCTGCAACTTCTACTTCTGTTTCGCAGCACAGCAGATGGAGGCATTACTAGTAACATCCCACGGTCCATCTCCAGCATTTGTCTGCAACAGAATCACTTCTTTGTTGTATTTCATTTTGTTTTAAACTCACTTGATGATGTCTAGAGAGGGAGCAGCATCTTTGATGACAAAGTCAGAAACTTGAAAGGTCTTGATCCTTTTGAGCAGTGGAGTCAATGTCAGCAGGAGGTCTTGTGAAAGAAAATATGTGACAATACTGAGTCCTGACGAGATTTTCTGTAACTGCAACCCAAGGAGGATCTTGACACTGGGTTGACAGTGAAAGTCTCCCAAATGTGGCACCTCCCAGGAGGAAGGAATAGAGAGGACCACTATTTCTGTAGGTTACATTTCAGCTTTGTGTGGAACATTCAGTTGTAGCTTACAGTCTCAAATACCAACCCTTCTAAAATTAGAAACATAAGACAGTTCCTTGTGATCATGGGTTCTGTGGGTCAGGGATTTGGACATAGCTCAGTGGGGCGGTTTGTCTCAGCTCTACCATTTCGAGAAGACTGGAAGATGAGGACTACTGAGGGGTTTGATGGTTCGTCACTCAGCACTGTAAGTTCAAGGTTGGGCTGAAGCAAAGGCTGAGCACATTGGGTTCTGCCTGCCAGAGCACATCTGTGTGACTGTGCTTGGGACTAGAGCCTCCTAGAGCATGACATCTAAATTCTGAGAGAGCGCCCCAGCAGGGGTAGAATGAGGTAGAGGGCACATTGCTCTTGAAAGCTA